AAAATTTCTAGTACCATAATATGTTTAAAAATAAATGCTAAAATTCCTTTATAATACAAAAAACAAGTACCTAAATGTAAACAAATAAAAACTTGAATTAAAAAGTTCAAATGAAAGATTTTTTTCCCCTGAAAGTTTGGGACAAAAATGTGGGTGTACAGTATACATGGGAGCACAATATACACGGCAAAATACAGTACTACAGTTACACGTCTAACCCAATTCTTGGCATTTATTCTGCTTGGTATTTTCTGAGCTTCCTAGTTCTGTGGTTTAATGTCTGACATTAATTTTGGGAAATTTTCACTCATTACTTTAATTTTTCTTCTGTTTCTTTCTTCTCCTTCTGGAATTCCTATTACACATATGTAGTTGTCCCACAGTTCTTGTGTGTTCTGTTTTTCTCTTTGTTTTGCAGATTTGAGGTTTCTATTGAGATATCTTCAAGTTCAGAAACTCTTTCCTCAGCCATGTTCATCTACTAATAATCCCATCAAAGGCCTACTACGTATCTGTTACATTGTTTTTGATCTCTAGCATTTCTTTTTGGTTCTTTCTTAGAATTTCCATCTCTCTGCTTTTATTGTTCTCATATGCTGTCTATTTTTTCCATTTAGAGCTCTTAACATATTAACTGTAGTTCTAAAACATTCCTGGTCTGATAATTCTAACATCCTTGCCATGTCTGTTTCTGGTTCTGATGTTTGCTCTGTCTCTTTAAATGTGTTTTTTGCCTTTTAGTATGTCTTGCAATTTTGTTCTTAATAGCCAACATGATGTAGTGGGTAAAAGGAACTTCTGTAAATAAGCCTCCGGTGGTGTGGTGGAAAGGTGTGGGAGAGGGGAAGTGTTCCATGGTCTTATGATCAGGCCTCCATCTTTAGTGAGCTACATCTCTGGATGGTGACATTCATGTGTGCTTCTCAGTCCCCTCCCCACATCCCCATTCAGTGGGACAGGAGTGTTAAAGGGGCCTGGAGCTGGGTACTTCCCATTCCCTAGGTCAGTTAGGTGCTGAGACAACCCCAATAGGTTAGGCTTTGGAGAATAGTTTCTTCTGAGGGTACAACTTGTGGGGACGAGCAGAGTGCTCCGGTGTATTTCAAAATGGCTTCCCCCCCTCCCCCCTCTTTGCCAGAAGAACAAGTGGGTTTTGCTCAGATATTCACTATGAGAACCTGGTTGAGTTCCTGGAGGTGAAATTCACAACAGTGTGGGGGCACCTTGACTGGCTCTGCATGGACTCTTTACCTCTCAGACGTGTCCATGCTAAGCCTCCAGTCCTTTGTCAATCACAGGTCCCATTTCCTCCCCCTGGCCCTAGTTCCTGTAGTGGTTTGTGCTTGTGGGTTTTGCCCTGGAAAGTTGTGATTCTCTGTATTCACTTGTCAGTGTTTTCCACTTTGGGGCAGAGGTTTGTCCTATGACCTTACTTCTCTTACAAATCTAAAGAGAATTGTTGATTTTTCAGTTTGTTCAGCGTTTTACTTGTTGTTAGGACAGAGTGGCAACTTCCAGTCTCTTACGTGCCTTACTGGAAACCGGAAGTGTAGCCCAGTTCTTGACACCAGTTTGTCCTCACTCAACACTGATATAAGCTTTTATTTGATTTGTAGTTATGTTGGACCCGCAACTGCAGCACACAGTTTTTATGCTAATGTTAATCTTTTGTACCAGATTATTTCTTTGATCAATATTGTAACTTATTTACAATGTAAAGCCAGTAGGATTTCTATAGGAATTATACATTATAAAGACTGAGAGTATATAGTTTATTATTATGATGCAATAAATGAACTCAAATTAAGTAGGTGGCGACTACTGCTTAATTGAAGAGGCCTCCATGCAAAACAAGTAAGAGTACAGTAAGCAGTGCAAACCGGTACTTTGTCATGGCATCTAAAATGCTTATTAGCATTTTAGCCAATTAGCTCAGTTGGTAAGAGCCCAGTGCTTATAACACCAAGGTTGCCGGTTTGATCCCCACGTGGACCACTGAGATGCGCCCTCCACAACTAGATTGAAACAACTACTTGACTTGGGGCTGATGGGTCTTGGAAACGCACACTGTTCCCCCCCAAAATAATAAAATTAAATTAAAAAATAAAAATAAATAAATAAAAGGCTTATGGTAAAATCCATGCTGAAGATACACAGAAATATACTGACTATATATACTTCCTTGATGTATTATTATTATTCATACCACTTCCCTTGTATATCTTCTAACTACAAAATAGATGACCTATTTACCAGAGACATCTACAGTGTGTGGGGGTGGGAAGAATGTGGGGGTTAAGGCTGCATGGAGGAGTTGTTGCCACACAATATTATCATAGCTACTTGTGAAATTCTCTTCATGCATAAGTGCCTTAGGGGAAATGATAAAAAACAATAGCATCAGCATGACACATTTTGTTATTGTTGGTTGTACCGCACTGACAGTTAGCTGCCATGCTGTGCGGCATCCACGTTAGACTGTTTCCAGTGTCAGAAGGTCCTTAGCATGTTGCTACACAGCAACTCATTCTGCAGCAGATACCAAAGAAGTAGTAGGCAAGTAGAAATTAGAGAGGAAAACTCGACCACTTATTATTTCTATATCTGCTAAATAGCAAGAGCTTTATTGTAGTTGCCCTTGAAATTAGTAAGTACCCAAGTTACAATTTAAAAAAGGATATTGCTATAGGACTGAAAGATAGCATAACTCTGTGTCATTATTTCCACTGAGCATTTCAAAAGTGTGTGAATTGTGGGCTTAACATAAAACAGGTTACCTCAGAGAAACAATAAACTTTCCTTTAGCAAATAATAGAATCTGAGAAGATACAACAGGATAGCACCTTTTGATTGGAAGAAGGAAAGAGAAAAGTAGGGAATAATTAGAGCCAGTCCCACTGAGGAAGTCATCCAGGAAACTTCACATAGACACTGGGAATCTGTGGGAAGAGAGGCTACACAGGACAAGAAAAGGCTTCCTTGTTTGGCTTGGAGCTGACCCTGAGAACCAGTGAGATTTAAAAGGTAGTGTGAAAACAATAAAAGAAAAAAGAAGGGAAAGGGGGTCCTTGATAATCCCAGATGCAGAGGCCCATGTGAGAGACCAGGAGAGTGTCTGGAAGCCTAAAAGAGCCAGGAGTTTCCCCATGCTGCTGACATCCCCCAATTTTATGGTAGTGTTGCCAGACAAAAGACTAGGCTTGCATTTTCATGCATGTGAAAAAAATACATATATTTAAACACTTTAATCACTCTCAATACATCCATATGCTATGAGGCATCTCTGAAGAAAGAATGACTGGGAGTGGAGGGAGTGAATTATTTATACGAAGAAAAAATGCAATGTGTAGCTCACGCCCCAGGCTCAATCCAGTATATGCCCTTCGATGAGAATGACAGAGTCTGCTGCACTACTTCATTGGCATTTCTCTCACATTTTGAGAGGTTAAAGCACATAGTTGATATCTTGAAAATTCTATGTGCTTATTTTGCGGGGCTACAGTATTAGTATATTTGAACTTACATTTGTTCTTATGTTGTTTGTCAATTGCCTGCTATTAAACCTTCTTAATAGAAGTTTTATATACATGTCTATTAATGTCTATGACAATACCTACAAAATGTGATATTCCCATTTAATCAGCTTGTATCGAGTGCTCATTATGAGCCAGACAGTGTGCCACACATTAGCATAGAGAATTTATATCCTCCTTGTATCACTGCTCTGAGTTAGGCTTTAAAAAAATTATTTTGAAATAATTATAAATTCACAGGAAGTTGCAAAAAATAGCACAGAGAGGTCTCATGTATTCTTCACTCAGTGTTTCTTGGTGGTTACATCTTACAGTATGATATCAAATCCAGGAAGTTGACACTGATACAATGCTTGTGTATAGTTCTATGTCATTTTATCATGTGTGTAGATTTGTGTAACTACTGCACTCAAGGTACAAAACTATCTTATTACCACAAAGATGCCCCTTGTGCTACCCCTTTATGGTCATTCTGCTAACCCCTGGCAATTACTACTCTGTTCTATATCTTTGTAACTCTCTAATTTCAAGAATGTGATATAAATGGAATCATAGAATATGTGACTTTCTGAAACTGGAAGCTTCCACTCACCATAATTCCCTGAGGTCCATGCAAGCTGTTGCACATATTAATGGTTTGTCCTTTTTTGTTACTGTGTGGATGTCTAATACTTTGTTCACCTATGGCAGAAAATTTTACTTGTTTTCGTTTTGGCTATTACATGTAAAGCTGCTATGAACACTTGTGTACAGGTTTGTGTGATGTGTATGCTTGTGTGTTTGATAAAAGCTGAAATGGAGAAGATGAATAAATTGTTCAGAGCACTGAACAGGTGCCCCAAACCTAGATGTTTTTACTTTATCTCCTGTGCTCTTTCCAATGGTCCCATATTAACTGAAAACAAATTGTTCTTCAGACAGTGTAGAAAAGTTATGATTATATATTTGATTACTTCTTGATAAAAATACTGGTTTTAGAATAATATCTGCTCAAAGACTTGATTATCTTCAGCATCATGTGTGCACACTGATTCATTCATTTATTGACAAAAAGTATTGTTTTAGGTGCCTGGCCCCCTGCTGAGCATTGAAGCAAACACCTGCCCTATGAGGGCTTTTCCAAATGCTGTTTGTAGCATGGAGGGAGTTTGCTGTATGTTTGCTGGTAATAATAGTTTTAAATTTTAGTTGGAAAATGTTTACTCACAGACAATGTGACTGCTATAATAATATTTAACTGTGTATTCTTAAATTTACATTTACTGAAAGATTTGGGTTAATATATTTTGCGTATTTTTAGGAAAGCAATTGCTGAACACACATGCACAAATGTGCAGTCTAGTTTTGCCAGGTATGCAATTCAGGACTTCTTTCAAGTAGGGGTGAGGTTCAAATGGATTTTTATTTGTAGTTTGTTTGCAAATTAATGATTTTGTCTACTTATCTTATGTTCCTTTTCCCTAATAGCATGAAAAATTAATCAACCGTCCACAGAGTACCAAAAGAATTTCTGCAGATCCTTTAGGTAACAAATATTTACCATGTTATTATAACAGTGTTTTTTCCTCTTATATTTTATGTGAATCCTTTCTATAAAAAAAGGAGAATTTTTCAATTAAACAATCATTAGGTTTATGAGCCTAAAAAATGAGTTTTCCTTTGGAAGTCATGGATGAATAGACTTAAACATACTCAAATGTAGACATAATTCTGTTAAAATCTACAAGAACTATATGAACCTTATTAAGTATTGTTTTGCAAAGATAACTAGTAATTGCTTAGCTTGATAAATAGGCCACTACAGTTTGTTCTGAAATGTTGACTACTAGATTGTAAATCTTAAAGTGTGGTCAGTTCAAATCTACACTTGAGGGCAATAGACTTTAAATGAAAGCATACTGGTATGAAACCACAAAGGAAACCTGTGATATTTGATTATGGTTAAGGATAAAACAATTACATAACAATGATGCAGATTTAAGGTAGAATTTGACACTTTTTTCTATTTTAGCCTTTGAAACAATTCATTTTGTGGTGTTAATAGTTACTACAGCAGTAATTTATTGGTCTTCAAAAGATATAAGTGCATGTGTTTTACTATTGAGTCAGGACCCTCCCTTCCCCCACCCCCGATGACACAGCATTACATTCAGGGGTTAGTTACCTTTATGAATTTGTGCAGAAAATGTGCAGGCTTTACTGAATCACATTAGAAGGAAACAGGATGAGAATAAACCTTAGTGTTATAGACCCTCTCAAAGTCAATACAACTGTTTTCAAAGAGAGAGCAGGTGATACAGCAAAAACAAAACAAAAAAACCACCAAAGTCACCCCCCCAAAAAGAAAACCCCAAAAGTCAAACCCAATGAAAACAACAGCAGTAAATGAAAGCCCAGCAAGTTTGTTAACTTTTGAAGAATTTAGTGTTGAAATGATAGCATTCTCATTAGTGTTGTCACAACCACCAGAGAGCACAGGGTATCTTGATCTTTCCTCTGTGTCCTGAGAAGTCCCAGGTGGTTATGCAATGTGGTCTCTTAGGACCGATGCCATCTGAGCTGCTGCAGGAAGGATGATAGTAGATGAGATCAGAGCAAGATAAAACTATAAAAAGTTTTAAATGCTAAGTTTAGAAGCTTGGACAATAGTGTATAAGAGATTTATAAACAAAGAACAAATAAGATCAGATTAGACTGAAAACTTGTCTTTGTCAGTTGTGTGGAACCCTAAAGTCAGTCAAAACTGATAGCACGGATATGAGTTAGGACCCTGGTTCCTGCAATGCTCCAGAAAACAGAGGAGGGTGACAACTGAGATTGAATCAGTAAGCCTGGAAAGTGGGGAAAATAGCTGCGATAAGTTTAGAGTTAGGATGAATAGGACTTGGGTACACAGGATAAGAAATAGTCTGTGAGAAATCTGAATCATATTATATGTTTTAGCCTACTCAGTGGAGTGGTCACATTTACTAAGACAGTGAATGGAGTGAAAGATCCAGTGGAGTGAGGGAAAGCCCACAGTTGATTTTGGTTTGACAAATATTGATTTTGAATTGGCAGTGGTATACACTGAAAGATAATTAGGAGATGAATATCGCAAATGCCCGGGATTCAGGAAAACAAAGCCAAGGATGAAGATACAGTAGATGTGGGCTAGTTTACAAAGAGCAGATGGGTAAGGCAGTAAGAGCTGATGAACTCACTGAGGGGAGAGGGCAGAAAAAGAAAAGGCCTGAGACAGGAAGCAGTGATTCAGCAGTATCAGGAGGACAAGAGCCAGCAAAGGAGAAAGAGGTACGCGGCAGGAGAGGGAAGAGGAAAACCTGGGCAGGCCATGGATCTCAAGGGAAGGAGTAAAATGCTTTGTAAAATCAGAGGAGATGCAGGCTGGGAATCAGCTGTTGTAAGTAGTACTTAGGAGGGCTCCAGGACAACTGGAAAGGAAGGCCTCAACAGGGTTCTAAAAGAGGATGCAGAACCCTGAAAGCTAGGGTTTAAGGAGTGAGCTGGTAGTGGTGAACTTGAGGCAGCAAATTTACATCAAGCATTAAATGATTTTATGGTAAAGGGAAGGGGAGAGATAGTTTGAAAGAGTAGCAGAAGCAAAGAAAGAGGAGGCTCGAGAGCGTTTGTATTGTAAGAAGGGGGCAAGGACTTGTGGTGAGGAGGAGATTAAGGAACAGGTGTGAAAGGCAATTACTTGATGAAAAACGCTGTGGGGGATGGAATGTGGTAAATACAGAGTGAGATTTTGTAAGAAAATAATTTTGAAATGAAAACAAGGTTATGTGAACTCAGGTCAAATGGCTTGAGGTCAAGTGGGAGAAACAGGCCCTGGCTGAGTGAAAAGAATGAGCATGAGATTGGGGCTTCACGATGGTGGAACAGATCTGGGTCGTTGTTGTGGAAAATTTAAAACTGAGTTCAAGAAAAAGATTTTTTAATGGATTTGTAAGCTGCGAAGGGCTCAAATGGTATAACAAGCATAGAGTTTGTTGATCACATTTAGCATAGTTTCATAACCCTGAGCAGCCCAGTAGTTAAGTGCAGCGTGAGCAAAGCAGGATTGGGGATTGACAAATTGACAACAATGAAAGCTTAAGAGGACAACGGAGTTTAAGGGAGATGCAGGACCATCACTGATGTACATAGCTGGTCACTAGAAGCAGCATGGGTACAGGGGCATGCGAGGCCCAGTAGGGATGACTGAATACCATGAAGGAATCACGGTATTAGTGGTGATGGGGCAAGAAGCATATTAAGCAGGAGCAACGGGACAGAGGCTGTGGAAGTTTAGGAGGGAGTGGGTAGCAGTAATATTGAGAACCTGAGACCATGGAGGAGGAATAATTCGGGTTGATGATGAAACATGACAATTGGCCATAAGTCTGTTTATGGAGTCACACACAGGTCACTGATGGTGACAAGATGAAGGAAGCATGTGGACAGTAACATGACTGATTATCAACACGATTGCTGATGATGCTACCTGCTGATGGCAAGAGCCAGATTGTGTAAATGGGGGGAGGGAGGCCTACCCATGCAGCACGGACATCAAAATGGCTACACTGCATGATGGAAGCAGAATGTTGGTTTGAATGAGACAATGGAGAGCAAAGATGTGTTGGGTCCATTTCCTGAGTAGCCTTCAGTGAAAAGGTGGCATGATTCATAATGTAAAATAGGTGTAATTCGTGCGAGTAGGTAGATGGAAGGACTACTTGAGTAAAAGGTGGCAGACATAGAATTCTTAGTTCATACCAGACCAGGGAAACTGGTGCGGGGGTGAGCATGAGAGTGGGAGACAGTGATTGTGATGCAGGCTAGTACTGGCATATGGAAAGATAGAGCTATTAGGGTATAGGGGTTCACTGAGAGTGATGGGCCTAAGCTACACAATGAAAATAATAACAGAAAAGTGGAATCATAAGTTTTAGTGGTAGACAGGAGTCACAGGGTAAAGGAAGAGGTATGCTGAATATATAGGATATATTCAGAGGAGAGATCTGTGGTTCTAAATAGTCCAGAGTCCGGGGAAATGTTGGTGCAAAGAACCTTCCACAGAACTGCTCATCGGGTAGTGGATTTAGTGATGGTTTGTGTGTGTCTATAGGTGGAGGTGTGATGGTTTGTGTGTGTCTATAGGTGGAGGTGTGTGTGAGGACTGCCCAGCTGCTGTTATAATGCATGCATCAGATTAGGGCTATTTAAGAGAAGTCTATTTTGAACATAAAAATATCTTCTAACAGAGTGCTACTGAAAGTATGGTTGGAGACCCAGTGTCAACATCATCTGAGAGCTTTTAAAAATGCTAAGTTTTACCCCTACCCTAGTTCTACATAAACTATCTGGGGCAGAGCCTAAAAACTGGTTTTAATAAGCCCTCCAGATCTCAGGGAAGTAAAAATTTGAGAAGCATTTCTAACCTTCAGCAATAGGTGGTTTCCTCTGAAGACCTAGAAAGTCAAAGGCACTCCTGTCTACCTGGGTGGCCCCAAAACCTCCCTACAGCTCAGAGGCCAAACCAGGGAGCACTTAGGTTTCCAGACCAGGTGCAGAGGTTAGGTAAGCCCATCCCCCCAGGCAGAATCCTGACACTGAGTGTGCCATGTGTGACTGACAGGTGCCCTGTGGGACAACCTGCTCTACTGGCTGGCAGAGGAGCTCTCAGAAGAAAACGCCACGCGTCTCTACTCTTCCCTCCCTCTTCGCCGGAGCACCATTCAACTCATCAAACTGAAGCACCCAGATGACCTCACAGAACAGATCCACGAACTTCTCTGCTTCTGGAAAAAATCACTCCCAAACTCCACTGATAAACTCCGCCTTCTGGCCCGTCATCTCCGCAAGATCGGCAGGAATGATCTTTCCGAAGAGTTAAAGTTCAAGTGGGAAAATAAAGTTTTCACCGAACCACAGCAGTTGCTTGATAAGGCAGAGTAAAGCCGGGCTGCTCTTTTTTTTTTTTTTTTTTTAAGATTAAAAGGGTCATAGTTTTGTTTTTTGTTTTTTTTCTTCTGTAATAAATGTTTTAATTAAAAAGAGGCATTTAAATGTACCTGTGTTGCAACCCTTAAAGAATAACAATTTTAAAGTCCTTTTATTTAGAATTCAGTGTAAATAAGCATCCAATCTTAAATCATAAATTCAGTTTGTTTGTTTGTTTAAATGATGGGAAAGCTTTTGTTCTGTTACAGAAACTTCTCAGTGGCTTCTTTGCTGGGTAACCTGTAACTAGAGTGTGAGACTGAGTGACTGCAGTGCCTGCACTGCATTATAAATATTTCCATGTTAGGAAAGCCCTTCGTATTTTTCAAAGCCTTTTCATGTGTTCCTCATTTAAGAAACCACAGCGTTAGTTCTGAAACGTCACAGCGTCGTTTCAGAGAGGAAGGCCATCCCGAGGCACGAGGATTGCACTCTGCCTGTCCCCTACCATCTAAAGGGAGAGGAGTTAGAGAGGAGGGGAGCAACTAGCCTTTTGGTAGTGTCACCATGAAGCAGACTGGGCAAGAAAGGCCAGTGGTTGATGTCCAAACTGATGGAACATTGAGGCAAAAACAGTTGTCCACGCCATAACATTCAAACAGGTTTTTATCAAAATGTAGTATTTATGAGTGGGTAACAGGATGAGGGGTAAATTATTTTTACTTTGCTACTTAAAACTTTTGTCTTTTCCAATTTTTCCTCAAGGTGCTTTGTTTGTTTTCAATAAGGAAAACATCCCTCATTGGCCATTTGTTAGAGAAAAGCAAAAGCAGACCAGAGTGAGTACATGGCAGGGCAGATCTGGGAGGTTGAAGACAAAATGGGATCCAAGTCTTGTTATGCAAGAGAAAGAAAGAAAGCCAAGTCTCCTTGTGAATGGCTGGCTTCTTCACATATGCTGGTTCTTCTTAGTGTACCGATCGAATGTGGCTTTTTATTCCGGCTCAATCCTCATGAAGTAGCTATTGTGGCACTCATGAGTTTTACCATGATTTCTTCATATTTTTTTTATGTCAGTAACCCTCCTGTTATGCTTTTACTTTTTTTTTCAAATTTGGGCAACATAGCTGCAGTGTAGCTTTCAGTAGATGGCTTCTCTTAAAGAATAGATGGCTTATGGAGAATGTTTTCATTCACTTCCATCAACACTCTTCTAACACAGATCGAGATGGTGTGGTCTTCTCCATCTGAGCAGTAAATCTTACAGAGAGGCGCAAGTTCTGTTAGAAACTGTGCCCCCTGCTTAAATTTCCCAGACTTTGTTCTGAAGTCTGCTACAGTTTATTGATTTGATAGGAAACACTTTTAATTGTTTTTCCACTTTGTAGAACTAGACAAGACCCTGCCACAGTTATGACACATATTCTGTTAGAGTGCTGCAATAGACATTGGTCCTCACAGAATTTTCCTTTGACATCTGCTTTGTACCAGTGAGTGAAGTAGCCAACCATAATCCAGGGAACCACAGGCTCTGATGTCACCACCGGCTTGGTGGCCATAGCAACCTCTGGCTCAGCTACCTCTCCCTGGAAACCCAAGTGCTATCCTCCAGGCAGGTCCAGGAGCCATTGTTGGTTTGACGATTGTCAACATTGTACTAGCAGTTTCCAAGAAAGGCTGTTTGAAGTGAGGTGCTTTTGCGACAGAGGTGCTTTTGAGACATGTGTGAAGCACTAATCAGTTGACCAAAAGCATTTCTAGGTTTGAATGCTCCTTCATGGGCCAGTGACATGTTCCTCAAGCATGGCTGTCTTGGCTTCAGCTAAACTTAAGAGCATCTGTAATGGCGTGTGCTCTGCTCACCTTTCAACATTTGAAGTTACTTTCTAAGTGTAAAGGAAAGATGATATACAGAATCCCTTTTTTTTATTGTTAACTACAACAACAATGTAGACAACAGTACATTGTTATCTATCTAGCTAAAAATAAAATAGCTACCCAGGATTCCAAGTAACTAATTCTCCTTCTATGCATCCAATGGAGCCCACAGGTAACAATGCCAGATAAATTGGGCTGCAGAGGCCTGATGTTGATGATATCAAATCATTGTAAGAAAACAGACAAGCTCTAAATGAGTTAAAAATAGAATATTACTTCAGCCATTTAGTGTTTATAAATGTAGCCTGGAATAGGGAAAATCTCATATTTTATTATCAACGGAATAAGGCAAGTGCAGAGGAAATGAATTATCAATGAAATAATTCAGGGCCCTTTCACCCACATAGGAAACAAAAAAAACTACGTTTAAATCAGTCTTATACAAACCTTATCACATAAGCTCTACATGCTCATTGTTTTTTGAAAAAGTTAAACCCTCAGAAAACTAAAAGAAAAAAAAAGTATTTACCAAGGCCCATCTATCATTGATAATCCCTGTTAGTGTCTAGAGTATAAGCTCTGAGAATTTGGAAAACCTAAAGTGGCATGATATGAATGGGACGTTACATTAATTTTACCAATTGATTAACACAAAACCATTGGGACATTGACTTGAAAACAACAGTAGCCATTGGTTTCAGTTATTGAATACCAGGACATCAATGAAATTCCATGAAAAATTAAACATTTACATAGCTCTGAAATTTAAAGTCAAGATTCCCTTCCACAAATTAACCAGGGACTTACTTAAACATCTATTTGTTTATATATTGAAAAGGGAGATTCCAAGTTTCCAACACCTTCTTATTAAGAAACATTCATTAGTCAAGACTTTTATTATTTTTATACATTTCCAGAAAGGTACAATGTTTGTCACGTGTTCTTGAAATGCAGAAAACAGACTGAAATGTTCATTGTTTTTCTGACTACAAAATAACAAAACAGTAAAAAAAAATAAAATGTGCCTCTTATTCCAACACTAGAGATTGCTATTATAAACATTTTGGTGTACATTCTTCCAGTTTTTCTTTTTTCCTGGAAGCCAACATTTCTAGCTCTATGTACATAGATGCTTATAAACACACTTACCTATGTGCTCACATGTACACACATGCTAATACATATAAATCCATTCACACATGTCACCTCTCACTTTCATCTCCTTCTCACTCGCTTACACACATCTCACATCCCCTCTCCATGTCCACACACCCCAGAAGCCCTCACTCATACACACCCCACATGCTCCCACACACTTCTAACAAGTACATCCTTGAACACATATACATGTATACCCTCGACATACACAAACACAGACTCACATTCACCTGTGCATCTCCTCATGCACGCATCTTCTATCACTATCCCCCACCTCTGACACAAACACACTTATTCACACACAATCCCACACATACGTCCCTTACACACACAGCCTCTGATCCACTTGTATGAAGTGTGATCAAACAATATGGTGAATGTTTAAATAAAAAAAATTATTACAGTAAAAGACACATTGCCCTTAGTCCCCCTCAAAATATCCCCCCTCACTTAGAACATACTTATCCCATCGTTCTTGCCACTTTCCGAAGTAGTTCTGGAAGTCCTCTTTTGTGAGTGTCTCTAGTTGTGCTGTCGTGGTTGCCTCAATGTCCTGAATCATTTTGACTTTGGGGAAGAGCCAGAAGTCACATGGTGCTAGATCCGGTGAATAAGGTGGATGAGGATACACCATAATGTTTTTATTTGATAGAAATTGTACCAGAAGTGATGTGTGACACAGAGTGTTGTCATGATGGAGGATGATTACGGCACACTTTAAAACACACCTTTTCTTAACCGTAGCTCACACCCAACTGACTGCACCGAACAAGTTGAAACTTGTCACACACTGTTAATAAAGCTTGACATGCCATTTCCCATACTGAAGATCCCTGCCTTTCCGTTGGATGGCATTCTGCAACAGCATTCACTGTATTTTGTGATCACAACAAAAGGCTCTGTGTTACACATCACTTTTGGTATTGCAATTTCTGTCAAATAAAAACATTATGGTGTGTCCCCATCCATCTTATTCACGGGATCTGGAACCATGTGACTCCTGGCTCTTCCTTAAAGTCAAAATGATTCAGGACATCGAGGCAGCCACAACAGCACAGCTGAAGACATTCACAAAAGAGGACTTCCAGAACTGCTTCAGAAAGTGGCAAGAACGATGGGATAAGTATGTTCAAAGCGAAGGGCAGTATTTAGAGGGGGGTTAATGGCAATGTGTCTTTTACTGTAATAATTATTTTTTAAACGTTCACCATAATTTTTTATCACACTTTGTATACTCTCACATATACTTTCACAAACTCTCTCAACACATCTCATGGCTGCATCTCATATGCACAAATACTCATTAACATACACATTACAAAGACACATGCACACATACATACATCTCACTTTATCTGCATACATTTACATACACATACACTCACAAACACACTCCCTCTCTCACACCCCACTCCCACCCCACTCCCACCTCCCTCTCTCTCTCACTCTCTCTCACAAACACACACACACACACAGTCTGATAAGCATTTTTACCCAGAATTAAAAAAAAGTATTATAGGATTGCAACATTAAAAAATATATAAAGGTATATAAAGAAAAAAATGGATCATCTCATCAGCGTCTCCTCTCCCTTAGGTTATCAGCGGAATCACTCCCATGTATGGCATGTGTCTCATGTGTTCATTGTGTCACACCCATGCTCTACCTTGTGCCCCTCCCTGCTCTTCGTCCGGTGGCCTGACCTGTGTGGACCACATCAGCAATGCCTCTGGTTTCTAGCTGGGTTTGGGTAATGGAGCCCCAGTAGGATACTGGGAGGAGGGAGTGGAGTGAGTTAGACTCTTCCCCTGTTTTCCTCCCTTCCAATTCACCATGGCCAGGCTGTGTCCTGCACCCAAGGCCACTGCTCCTGTCCTGTCTCAGCATCTTTCTCTCGAGTGTTGGAAACTGCTCCTCTTCTTGTTGCTTCAGGCCTGGTGGAGTAACAGCTCTATTACTGCACTAGCTTTTGTGGTTTCCCTACC